ACCGACGGTCACGTCTCCAATTGCGAACGCTGCCGAAGAAGAAAAGCCCTGAGAAAGAGCCCAATATTTGAACGTAGCCACCGCACAATTCGAGCTACCATAAAGCTATAGCTCGCATTTTTTCTTAATAATGAAGCTGCGAATTACCGGATTAAGACATAAATTGTAAGTATTTTGTGTATGAAGTGTTTTCTAATGAACTGTCTATTCTTCTGTTAAACCGCTACTTTATGGAAAGCATTTCCGTGCGATTGTCAACGAAGTAGCGTAGTCTATCGTGAAAACCTGATTACGTATGTTGCTGTGTGTTCTTGCGTAAAGCTGTCTTACGTTTGATAAACCGGCACTGTATAGAAAGCCTCTTCATGCGATCATGAACGACATAGCTTTGTCTATCGCGTAGGCCCCATTATGTATGTGACTGTATATGCTGTTGCTAAGGGTAAACCGATAATGCAGTAGTGTAAAATTAATCGTAATTCTGGGACAATAACAAGCGAACAGAAAGGCAGAAACTGCAAGTGCGTGGTAGCGTGGTGCAGGGAGAAGACAAAAAGCTAATTGTGATTACGCAAAGGTAAGGGATGGCAACTGAGGTGGACTTACGTAAAGTCGAAGAGTGTGGCACTTTTACAGAAGTGATCGTATCGTAAGGACAATTGAAAAGGACCTTAAAAAGAGAACCTGCAACTGTGCGATGGCGTGGTGCAGGAACTACGCAAAAGGCTATTCGCGATTACGTAAATGTTGCGAATGGCAACTGATGTGGGCTTACGTTACGTGGAAGACCATAGCGATATGATACGAACATGTCAATGGATATATATCCTAGAAAGAGTTATAAAAATGTCGCCGTTGATGGTATTAAAGAAGAACTATCGTGTAATTGATTTGACTGACACAATATGGGCTGGATGAAGATATGTAAGGAAAGTAAGATCTCAATGTTGGGGTGCATCGTAATATGTGTAGTGTGTGAGTCCTGTCGTAGCTAAGTTCAAGCAACCCGTCTATCATTTCTAACACCTTAGACTGAAATATGTGTGTATCGCCTATGCGAATGCCACCTTTTGTAAATGGAATGATAGGCGAGGATGCTGTAGCAGCCTTGCCAAAACACTCAAGTTTGAAATCAATAGAGCTATTGCACTGAGTCAAATCGAAAACCGGAGTACGTAAATCAAAAGTACGCCCGCTGAAACGTATTTAGTAAGCATTTTTAAGTATTTTATAAAATTCATCCACTACTATTGTTAATTCTGAACCCAAGTAATTTAATACTGTTGAATTTGCGGGCCAAGAAGTCATATTAGACCGACACCCTTTACTGCGGGGAAGTACACCTTAGTTAAAAAAACGCCGGCTTTTCCAGAAAATCAAACAAGTTTGACATTTACACTCGCACTGCTTAAAGACTCCATGATATCTGAAACCACATTGGCTTCGGCAAGGCGGTGTTCAAACGCAGGTACTCTTTAAGTACCTGGAACACATAAGCTTACCTGGGTATCATCGCTGAACTCAAGCAATCCAGGAATCCCTGAGTGTTCAAGGTACTTAATCAGTACCTGCATTTCGACTCCTTGCCCAAGCGATTACGGCTTCTAATTTCATCATAAACTGCACAGTTACATGCCTAACTTGACTTCATGAATACTTACATGGTAATCATCGCTGAAATCCTATGTATCATATATCGTTACTTTAAATCGCGGATTTATTAAACATAAAACCGTTGTAAAAATATGGCGTCTTTTTTTCAAGAGTATCTAAAAGTAGTGTATTTCACCTTAATACTCAAGCAGTTAGTCGACATTTATAACGGAGAGATTAATTTCTGAGGAAATCAAAAATATGTAAGTTCCAAAATAAAGAATATACGAGGAAGCACAAATCGAACTTTTGAATGCTCATTAATAATCCGAATCCTCTCGCAGTGGTGGCGTGCAGCTTCAGAACACTCGGGGACGGCAATTATTCTGCGTAGGGCCGAAGGAACCTTGCGCCGTTCGTGTACACAGATCGAAAAAACTGAGAAAGGGCCCGGCTTTATTTTCGTTTTCAGCGATTTGAGCACCCGTGATAGACTTGTACTGACCTCGTATTCTAAGCCATGCTTTCCTCGCACGCTGCTGGGGCAGGCCGCAATTTCGTCTCTCGTGTTCACTAAGCCCGTGCGCAACAGAGCTTATCAAAGGCAGGTTGAGGTCACAGACGTGTGCTCACCACTCTCTGTCCCAGCTGGCCAATCACTTTCCAAGGCCAGTTCACAGAGGACCTTATTGTGATGAATGCGTACGGTTAGACACTCCCGGAACCGGCGACCTCACTGCCAACTGACATTTCGGACAGGCTAACCTTCACGACTAGAATGCACTCATTTGGGAGTCAATTATCCACTACTCATACTCCACACATACAGCACTT